GCCAAATTAGAATTAAATCAGTTGTTATAATTGTATGTGGTACATGTGTTAAGCTTCAGGTATTAAATAGGGTCCAACTATGAGAAATTACGTGGGCTGAAACCATGGGTTTTCCCTAACGGACGAAATACATTCCAGAAATCCCCTGTGTTTACAGTGGTCAATTGAACGTGAAAAACAGTCGATAACATTACAGTACAGTGACAAATGGTGACTCCGTACGTGTTTGTGTGTCAATACAACGCAAGTAAAAATATTGACCATGCTATTCGGGTCGAGAATACGGGGGGAGTGGGCGGGGCGTTGGGGAAATAATAAAAACACAAGCACGCGGTGGTAAACAATAAACTCTGTACGCGGGGTTGAGTCCAATTTTTCGCGGTGGAAACCGGCCGTTTCCTGTGGCGATTTACCGTGTCGACTTGAGGAACTACAGCGGTGGATGAGCGCTTCTGAGCCCGCTAAATTCTCAAGCAAGTAAGCACAGAACTGGGCCAGATGGGTTTATCACGCAATGGCTGAGCTCGGAGCTTCAGGGTCACACGATTTGACATATTCAAATCTGGCAAAACGCGATCGCGAAAAGGGCAGAGGGATTTTGCAACATCGCATCGCTGGGGGTACCAAAAGGGTGGATCATTCTTGGAAATTTCACGCTCAAAATTCCGCCTGAAAACAAAACGAGGAGGACAATTAGAACGCTACAAACTTACCCAGAGAAAACGGGTACCCCGTAGAAGGGGCTCCACCCGCCGATGGCGTCGCAAGTTGCTCAATCGTGAAAATTTTGGCGATTTTCTGACAAATTTCTCTCTCCTCCGGCGGCCATTTTCTAGCTGCAATGCAACATGGGCGTGACGTTCTATTTACCGGCTGGCCAAAGATTTCCTCTATTCAGTGCCGCACTGCAGGTACAAACTACTAATAATCGTCAACCATAATCAAAACAGAGGGGTACAATCTAAACACATTATGCTACTATTAAGAATATTTTAAGAAGAAAATTGGTGATTTACTCCAAAATGCAGTATAAAGTTTCAAAGATTGCAGGCACTGCTTTAAGTTCGCATCCAACAGGCACATCAAAATCGACCTGTAAAGCCCTCCAAGGGTTCCAAATTGACCTTAGCGGGAAAGCAGTCGATGTGTGGGGCTGAAAATCTTTGCACAACTTTTAGACTAATTTTCGACATGGACACGGAGGAAAGGGAAAGAAAGCAGCTAGAGAAAGAGACAAAGAAGGGAAAGACACTGTGGAACGACCACAAGTGGAACCGGCATGTGGAAGTCGACAACAACCCTTGTTTGGAGGTAAAGTATGATGTTGCTGTGTGCTATCTTCTGGGTCGGAACAGTTCACAACTTATGATATCTTTTATTTTACACGCAAATTTCATATTTTGGAGAAAGGTCATATATAGATGTTAGAGCAAAGAACGCATTTTGGTGATATATTCGATTATTTGGCATGACGTACCGTGTCGTTGTCAGCTCTCATGTGGACCGTTCAAAAGTTTGAGGACTCAAGGGCAACATGTCATGGGGCCACGCCACGGGGGAGGGCTGGAGTCGGGGCACTGGGAATCAGTTTTGGGTCAACAAGTTTTTCTCACCTACAGCACTAACAGCAGTGGTAGAAATGTTTTTGTAGTGTTTTGCAATATTTAAGCAATTGTCAAAAATTTATTCTGCAATTTGGAAATACTTGCTTCAAATACACACTTATAAAAATTCTGCACCTATACCCATGGCAAACATTTTACATGTAATCTGAAAAATACATGCCAAATTAATAGGTACATTAGTAAGATTAGTAAGTCACCGGTAAAGTAAATAATTATACAAAAGCCCTTGATAACAGTTAAAACTTTTTGCCTAAAACCATTGAACCCCAAGCCTGATTTTTTTTCAATCTGCATAATTGCAGGTTGTTTAATTTGTCTTCTGCAATATCAAAAATGTCTAGATGCAAAATGCAGACTGCAGGGGGGAATTTCTAACACTGTACAGGAACACTTTTGTCAGGTTTACAGGGCTCAAAATACCCAGGTGCAATTTGCAATTTGCACATGATTTTCAAGATTTGCATGTAAAATATTGTGAACTGGCATGCAATTTTGCTAGTTGAACATATCACAGCACTGCTATATACTGGTAAACATAAAGAAGATGTTTGATAACAGTGAATGGTGATGCAAACTGTATGTACGATTAGAATTAGAACAAAGAAAGGAATTTTTTATTTTAGTATTTTTACCCGAGCAGTTCTCTCAATTTCTGTCCAGGAATCCATTTGTTTTCAATCACCTGCTAATTATTTTGTAACAACCTGAAGGTTATGTGCTAATTGTTTCCAGTGACAATTTGACAATCACCAGTTGTCAAAAGTTTGCCTGGTGTCACTTGATCACGAAGTGCTTCACAAATTAACATCTTCTAATGAACTTCATTAATAACAATAGAAAGTTGAACCTGTAGTAAACTTGACAGAATGTTGATTGAAATAAAACCGGAAAGAACTATCCAGCTTTATGTCCTATTCAAACAAAACAGAACCTTGTGAATTCTTTATATTCCTGCTCCAGCTGCTCCTAGTGTCCTAGCTGTTCCAACAGTTCTGAAAGATCTGTTGTGTATTAGTTATGCTCCCTCTACATGTCACTAGGATTGGTCACCTTTGTTGGGTCATGAGGCCACTAGCATAGTGTAACATTATATAGGAAGGTACAGTACCAAGTACTGAGTGATTCTGTGTTTCAGACCTGTAGCCGATTAATTTTTGCAGCGTGCAGCCCTACTACAGTGCAGAAAGACATTTTTAGGCTCTTTGATACTCTGACCTAGTGACATACATGTACATGCTGATTCTGATCTTTGTTGTTTTCAGGAATCCAAATCCTCACTACAGTGTATAGAAAGAGCATTACAGCAAGAGAGAACTCTGTCAACAGACACTTTGAAGCATACAAGACTTGTAAGAAATATTGGGTATGTATGCATCTATTATGTACGTCATGTAATTGTTCGGGTATTATGTGGTATTACTACATACCTTGATTGCATATAGGTCACACAAGAATACTCACTAGTAATCAAAATACTATTAACTCTTCTGTTCTCTTATTGTTTTCTCCTACAGCATGCTGTGATGAGAGAAAGGATACGACGTGGGATCAAGCCCCCGATGCCAACACATGACGAGAGGGAGAAAATGAAGAAAGAACTGGGCATAAACTTTGTTGTGTCTTAGTACTAGTTTATCTGTTTTATGTAGACAGTCAAACTTGTCTAGGACGGCCACCCAGGGGTCCAAGGAAAAGCAGTCTTCCTAGACAGGTGGCCTTCTTATACAGAAACACATATAAGAAGACAGAACAGGGAAACCACAGCAAAATTTCTACCCTTTTAAAATGTCACATAGACCAAAAGTGACCAAGCCAGTACCATCTTACATTGTGCAAAGACTGTCGTGCTGTCGAAATCATTGGCAAACTGGCCGATTCTATCAAGATTTCTCACTAGTTATCATAAAAAAATGTTTTTCGCTACATACATGAAAATTATGTGGCCATCATAGGAAAAGATTGGGCCATGTGCCATCCCAAATAATCCTTGTAGCAGTCACGTTGGACAAGAAGTGGTTGGCATAGGCAAGTCACTTAATGCTTATTTCTAATGGGTAAAAAATGGGGATCGAGAAAAAGCGGTCATTATGACCAAATGGCCAGCTTATACTGGTAGCAGTGGTCACTTGGGCAAGTTTGACTGTAATTGTGAAGGTGTACAGATGAGAATTTTAAATCAATGCTTCTCTTCACAAGAGTCTCAAATTGTAAATTAAATTTTGATTCATGAATCGTAAACTTGACTTTGTAATAATTGATATAAAAGATTTTAGAAAATACCTCAATATTTTACAGGGTATTGACTTAAACTCAAAAGCAGGGCCAAATATTTGAGACCACAATTTGGAACTACATGTATACATATACTAGTAGTTGAAGAATTATGTTTTTGATTTCTATCAGGAAAGCGTTTATTCTCTTAAAAGAAGACTATTTCCACTGCATTCTGTGAGAGCCATTCTGTCCATACACAATACAATATGATATAATAGTGATTGTCAAACTTATTAGTCAGTATATGGAGTACTCAGGAATTGCACTCAGTTTGCCAGGTTGGAGTATGGGCGATCGCTGTTCTTGTTTACATCAAATGCATACAAATTATTTGGAGACATATGCAAATTAATGGTAGGCAAATCAGCCAACCATCACCCTTTTTACTACTCGCTGGCGATGACATCATTGCAATCGCTTGTATATTACCATATGTTACATCTGATTACCAAAGCATAATGGGCTGCTCCCATGGTCTTTGGGGCCATCCTTGGTAGATTGAGAGCCGTTTGCTTTGACTTTGTACCACCACACCAACAGCTGTCATCAGGGAATAGAAGTTTTCTGTTTTATACTGTCTGTTGATCTCCTTTCTTCTCACAGCACACATGTTACAGTTTATGCCTGAATGAATGCTACTACTAAGTTGAATAAACTTTTTGAAAACCTTATTTATTTGGTGTGCATTATGTTAAATGGGTTTGTTGAATATCTGGTTTAACGTTTGGTGCAATATATGATACAAATGTTGCCTTTTTTTAGATCAACGGCTGACAGGAAATACCTACAATGTATTAGCGTACATATAGCTTGGTGGTGGGTGGTATCTACTGTAGGTGGTACCCAAAAAATAAAGAAACACCTTACATAGCTTCTTTTGAGGATATTTCAAAAGATATATTTAATATCAAATGTGATAAGAAAGGGCAACAAATGTCAATATCCGATAGATTTCTTAATCCAGAAAAGTTTTTGCTTAAGCTCCCTGAAACTGCATTGGATCCTTTGAAAAATTTGACTCAAGTCGAATCAGATTGCAGTTCCAACCAGTCTGGACTGGTCTAGCTAACCATTAACCATCTAAGTAACTATTACGTGAATGTGTGACGGAGGCAAACAAAGAGTGCACGTTCAGCTGGTTTGCCCATTGTTACCTGGCTAATTTCACAGCCGGGTGTTTCGAGGATGGTGACCGACCGAAGTTCCAGAGCTACAAGGCAACGTGGTCTCACTGTGTGTCAGGTAAGAACGTTTGGAAATGCCTTGTTAACGCTCCTTTGTCATTCACGTACATACATGTACATACAGGATAATTAGAGGGAGCCTAGTATAAGATGTTAGGTTAGTGTGGTCATATATACGCAGCTGTTACGTACACGTACAAATGTACATGGCTTGCATCATACACATACTGAGCTACAGGTACATACCACCGGTACATACATAGGTGTACACGTGAGCATGTACATGTATGGTGTAAGACTCGGGCTGTATGATATGGCTAGTCACATGTAATAAACGTTGCAGTTATCTACTACTTACTTTAGAGCCATAGATACGTGGCCTTGTGTTTAGGGTTGTTGACTCAGATTTCGAAGGTTCTGGCTTCGAATTCCTGGCAGGCCCCATTGCTGTGTCCTTGGAAAAGGAACATGCACTTAACACCTATTGCCTCACTTGACTCAGGTGTAAATGAGTACCTACATGTAGCTTCGGTTAGGGGCGTCCTCTCGGATAGGAGAGCACGTTAAAGATCCCACCACACCTACCGAACAGAGAAGGGGTCCTTCCCGGTGTGAGTGGTTCAAACCTTACAGTCTGGTCTCAGGTTAGACTCTCACCGTTAGAAGTATATAGTCGCCTGTTCCTTCCACATATGTGGTAACTTCAAAAGATTCGCAAATGGATTCGAGTGCAGGACATTCATTACACTTTCTCTTGTAAACATAAATGACATACCGTACTTGGTTCTGAAAAGAGTGTTGCATCTCTAGCTCTAGATCTGTCCGGACACTACAGTCTGTGTAACACTCAATACCTATACATGTACTTTCACTGTCCATGGCTCTATGGGGCCCTTTCCCACAGACCGTCAGTCAGAGATGTTTGCCCAAATTGCAAAGATTCTAGCTTTCATACATGTTTAAATTTGCACGATACAAAATAACTACTAGAGTGCTTTTGTATACTCTGAAATACCATAGTTGACAAATTTTCCAAGTCATCTTGAGTAGTACGATCTCATCCCTTTACCAACACCTACCTACAGTACATATCATACCAACTATTACAAAGTTCTATACACGACGTTTCGAGTTATGCTGTCCAAAAACAAACAAACTAAATTGACACAAACAAACGACACCGAAGTCGAAAACATTACCTTCTTAGGTGGATGATACATTTATCCGAACGTGTACAAAACTGGGCACGTACTTCATATGATTTAAATCGCTTCTTAATTGGTTTCTAGAATCCGGTTAAGAACGCATCAACAGAAATCAATATTTTGTTTGATCAACAGGTTGATGTGGTCAAGGCCACATGTCAAACGGGCCACACTGGCAAACGGGATGGGCCATATTTACGTTAACCCGCCTTTCTTATATCTTCCACAGATGCAGGCAACTTTGAAAAAGAACAACACAGCATTTTAACTTGTCCTCCGAGTGTTCAGTATTCATGTTGAACGCTGGAAGATATATCGTGTTAACTGTTCAAGAAAGAAAAGGAATATTTAGCTAAAATATACGTACAAAGGGCAACAAAATGGCTTTGTCAAATGGGACTCTAAAAATGACCATAGCAATCGCCGTGATTTCGTTATGCGGATTTTTCCTGTTCGCCAGTTATTCGTACAAACTTAACAACAGGAAAAACTCTTTCCATCTGCCCGAATTTTCAAATAATCACGTCAACAAGAAACAAAAGATTGTTTCTAATGATCTAAATGCGAAATACTCGAGTGATGAGAATAGTGAGGAAAAAACTCACCTAAAAACTGAAGTGCCAAACAGTATACAGTACAGCCAATATTTTATGTCGACCAAAACACCTGAAGAAGTAGTTGAAGAAACAACAGCAAGCCTCGACGAGAAAATATTGCCCAACAAAGACAAAGACATGAGTACAGAAACAAAAGACTTCCCATGGAAGTTCGAATCCCATGGAAAGAAAGCCATTCGCACGACAGCCGTGCCTAAGACGATTTCTACAAATGGTCGGTCAGATTCCAAAAGCTCGAAACGAAAAAAGTCCCACCATTCGCCCATACAGAGGAGCCGGGCCCCAAAATGGTTCAGCAAAGAGGACATCGACAAAATGACTCATCTGGCGACTTGGAACATTTCTCACCTGGAAACCATACCCGAACATCCTCACGTGGACAAGATAGTTTTCGACAATACGGGTAAGTTCGAGTTTCAGCCCACTCCGACTGTCTGTACGGATCAGTGCGCTGTTTTGAAGAGTTACCGGGACATGTACGAAGTGGTGGCGTTTCATCTGGACAGAGTGCTGGGGCTGAACCGCGCTTTGCCGGCGGTGGCACGCGCCTTCACCGGGCTTGGGAACCTCGGGCTGCGGTACGAGGACGGCCGGGCCCGGCCGCTCATCTGGTGGGACCCGGACCTGCTTCACGGTGGGGAGTTTCAAGAGGACCAGAACTCGTTCGAGCTGTCCTGGTCGACGTACCAGAAGGTGCTGAGGAAACGGTGCTGGGCGGACGGGAGAGAACCCCGGCGCCGGGACAGGTGTTCCGTGGTGCACTTGGAGTGGGCCCGCCTCGCCGTTTTTGACTTCCTCCTTCAGGTGAGAGCTAGTAGCATGCATTTAGTCTCTTACCAGGCTCCGGGAAGCGGCTGACAAAAGTAGAAATTGGCTAAAAGACAGATCTGCCAAGGGAGTTAGTCCGAGCCACAATCCGATCGAGCTAAGAGTACAGTTAATTAGCTTGGACCAAGTACGTGTACTACCCCGGCAAAATCTGTCTATTTAATTGGACAATTTCTTCCCTTTCAGCCGCTTCCGGAAGCCTAGTAGAGGCCAGAGTTGGTCCGCTAAGAAGCACATTTGTTTGGTACCAGTGTTTGAGTTGAATAAGCGTGTGACAATATTTGAAGTAGAATATCAAACTCCATGTTGTTACGACTTCGTGTCAAACGTACTTATTGAACCCATAACTCAAACGCGCGTGGTGGAAAGTATATCATTTCTGTGCTGAGCCATGTGATACTATGTGTTTTAGACAGCCATGCAGCACCACACTGCATGGTCTATAGCCAACAGCATGCACAAGCACGTGTAATATGCGTGTTCTCAACCTGACCTGTTGGCTGATGTATAGTGTTGGACGACAGTGTACACTTCAGACACCTGTTTGAATTGCACTGTGCAGTTCCACCATGTGTTGCAAGGTGACGTTTCATTGCTCACGTCTTTTTGCGCCATGGACCCTAACTCGCCCCCTCTTTATGACGTTTCTCGCATGAATAACCTTGATCATGTAATGCAGAGGAAATAAGCAAATTCACCGTTCAGATATTGCCTATTCCTGTGTGTGTCTGTGTCTGTGTCCACATGGCCCCGTAGATCAGGTTGTTATAGATATGGTTGGGTTCTGCCACAGAGAGAGATCTGGTAGAACACTATGCATGTGTTTTATTTGTCCTTACATGACCTTCTTGACAGTCAGCTAACAGTTGGTGTTAATTGTTTCCCTTGCACGATAAAAAATACTTGCATACACCATGGTGAATGAGAAGAGGACCCAGTCACCATCACGCAAGATCTAGATATTTCATATAGATATGGTTGGGTTCTGTCACAGAGGAAGATCTGTTCTGTCACAGAGGGAGATCTCAGAATTTTTTTCCTTCTTCAGGTTTACGACCGGCTTGACAGAAACTGCTGCGGGTTCCAGCCGACAGAACAGGACAAGTGCCTAACGGACGGACGTAACGCGGACTGTGACAACCCGGACCGTGCGGCACCGCTGATGCTGGTGCACATCTTCAGCAGCGGGAGGCACCCCACCCGCCTGGTGTTCCTGGACAACGCGGGGGTTCCGGAACGGAGGGAGGACAACCTGGACTTCCGACTGCTTACTGGGATCGACGAGTAAGTACTCGTATCTGTATCTGTATAGCCGGTAATCCGTAAAACCGTAATCTCCAAGCAGATCCCTCTCGGTGGCAAAAAGACAGTGTCAAATTGGCCAGGCAGTAATCCATTAGCCAGAGAAGCTCCTTTACTTGACTTGTTACACGTAACCCTGCCTTGAACATCTAACTCTAGACATTGTTTGAAGCTATCTAGCGACAATGCCCCTACTGTACTTGGTGACAGAGAGTTCTAGGAAAGAATGGATTCTTGAACACCTCAATTCTTGGTTGATAACTCTGGTACTTGAAGGCATGGCTATTTCTTGTACATGTGGTATTAGGCACTTAGTAATTGGGACGTCCACCAGTTTATTAGTCAATTTGTACATCATGCATAGTGACAGATAATAAGCCATTAAAGGCAACCACTACAATTTCAGGGTGGTAAGACAAAAATATTCTGGATGAGAGGATATCTGTCTGATATTACTGTACTCGGTGACAGCAAATCAACAAATAAAATACTGTTTCTTTCCGTAGGGTTCCACGCAGAGCGGTTGAGGTGTTGAAGTCTGGACGGTTGGGTGAGCTCCTGCTGCGGTCCTTACAAGTGGATAAAGTCTTCTGGGACACACAAGACCGAGACGAGCTGATCAAATATGTCCACATACTCCATAGAAGGGGCAAAATCCTCGCAGATTACATAGAGGATAAAGACATCGCTTTAGTGGATGATTACTGATTACACATTTTATTATTTCAAATTGCTCCCTTCTACGATATCACGAAAAAAAGGGCCTGTGTAAAGAGGTCAACAAATTCAATCCTAACTTCTCCACGTTTTCAGGCAAAAAGAAAAATTCTCTCCCAAACTCACATGTTACAGAAAAAGTGGGATAATTTTTTTCGTCTTCCTTTGTCTCGGAAAAAGAAGACGAACCCATAAGTTAGTATTAAGTGTCATTTTTTTATGTTACACAGTACTTGCAATAAACTTTCACTGATATTGATGTTCCTCACTGAGCAATGAATGAAACGAATACCGAAAACTGACACAATAAAACTGATGAATTTCGAATTCAGCGGACAGTAACTTGAAACCGATCATGATGCAGTGTTCATAGGGAAAATAATTATTTAAGCATGTTTAGACGTTAAATTCCTCCAAAAAGTCCATTGTCAGAGTTCGCATACTACATTCTACGTTTTTTACCAGCAGATGCCACACTTTTCACTAGTTACTAGTATATATATACTACAGGAATATTTACCTGTGCAATAAAAAATGTATTCAAACTCAACTCGGACGTCCACAAGTTAATATACTAACGTTATACTAGTACCAGATAGCAAAAACAAATTAAAGTCATTTGCTTACTACGAAATTATTTAGTTATAATTCTTCTTCTTTGTACTTCTACGGATTATATTATTAAATTGAATTCTTCAACTGATGGGAGATCGTAACGTTCTTGCCACTGACTGCTGTCAGAGAATCTCCGAGTGTGTTATTAGAAGCTAGTGGACAACCCAACATCTGCTTGATAGAGATGGAGCACAACAGTGACCTGGGAACGAGAGTTCCAAGTGCCTTGTGCACGAGCACGAGATTGAACTGTGGTCTCGCACCACCAAAAACTTCCCCGTGCACCAGCGCCATCTAGCGACAATCCTTGAAATTTCTGCAAACTCTTTGCGAAGGTAAGGACTACATTTTATGTGGTTTATTTCATTAAATCGAAAGAATTATAAGTGTTGCCCAATGTGCTGTATTTCCTTTGTATCAAATAAAACGTATGTTTAAGAAGTGAAAAGTCGGAAAGGAATCCCCCAATATGGCATGACGCAATGACATTATTACAAAATGCATGTAGACTACTGATGTAACTTGTAAGAGACCATTCTAGAAGCCGAGCGAACGAGTAGGTGTCCTTGTGCGAAGTTGTGTTTACCTCAAGTTGGTTCGACGCAGTGCTGGTGTGTTTTTTCACGACGTGTTGTGAACTGCTGGTAATTGTTCTTCGATATTAACGCCAGGAGCGTTGAAAAGGCCAGGGAAGAGAAAGAAAAGGGGCGAAAGATCTAGGGGAAACGGTGAGTATCATGGTGGTAGAAAAGACATGCGAGTTTATTACGCAGCAGATTTCACGGGGATGAAAGAAGTTTTATATGTTACGTAGAGCCTAAAAACATGCTTTCCTGACATGTCAAGACAACAGCAAATTAAATGATACACATGAGGGGGACAAAACATCTCCGTGAACGTATGTTGTTGACATAATTTTGGAAGCCATTTTCGTGCGTATATGGGGGAGGGGGGCATAATTACTTTTGAAAACCGAAGATCTCTTATGATCATCCAATTATTGCACTTAAATCATTGTACACGTACAATGCACAGCCTTTTAGTCGTATACTGCTGGGTTGTATTTACATATATAACGTCATATCTGTTTTGTTGTTTTTTTGTGCTTTTTTGTTATCACGGTAAATCAAATCAGTATTCTATCGGTATTACCAAGGAGGTTGTCCTAATGGTAAATACCTTGGGTAAATACTATATTTTGGATGTATGGTTAACGTTATATAATGAAGCAATATAATTTAGCAACATTACCCATTACAAAATGCTATTGACTGTTTTGGGCCATTAGCCGCATAATGCTAAGTAGGAATAATGTTACATACACTTGTACTCATAAATGTCCTTGTGTTATGAGGTTACTAAGTAGTTTTCTTACTCTCTGTGTCCTCAGGTAAGAGAAAACAGACATGCTGGTGACCAGGCTGGTAGTCCTGCCCCTGGGGCGGCTGGCCACACAGATCCCGTCCCGAGTGGCCCAGACCACCCCCCTGCGTTCAGCGGGGCTGAGATTCCTGACCGGCTCCCCATTCACGGTC